TCCCTGCAGCCGAATCTGCGATTTCCACGAAGATCTGAACAAAAAAATCTCAAGATCTGAACTCGAAGTGTAGCAAAAACCCAGGGCTTCCACAACTGACGGAGCCGAATTCTCCGTCACAGAATTGCATATCCCGGTGTCGGTCTTTAGGGACACGTTGAACGGGCGGCAGGGTTCGTCGGCATGTAGTTAAACATAAGCAACGGGCCAGAATCGAGCCCGACCCCGAAGCTGATGGAGAGCTCGTGACGATCTCCGCCGATGATCTCGATGGAGAAGAAGAGGGATTTTAGATGAATTGAGGTTTCGGGTTCTTTAATTATGTGAAATTTTCTCTCAAGCTAATCGAGATCATCGGAGGAGAAGGGGATTTTGGACGAAATGGGGTTTCAGTTCTTTCATGATATGGAATTTTTTCTCAAGCTAATTGAAGCGAAATTTATTGAAGTGACCAGCGGATTATATGGGATTTTTTCTGAAGCTGACGGAGGCAAATTTTAATTGATGGGATTATATTGAAGGTGCGATTTTATTGCCGTTAATTAAGCGAACCTTTAACAGATTTTATTCCCGTTAATTAAGCAAGCTTTTAACAGAAATTGAACTGAAGAGATTTTAATTTCATGAAAAGAAAAAAAATCCAGAATTTTAATGATATTCTACAAATAGAAAGTCAAAAAGTCAACACAATTATTTAAAGTTTCTATTTCTGATTTTTCCATCAACCCTTTTTATATATATAGATATATTTATCTATTATTCGATCATGTACACGGTACACTGAGAAACAAAAATTTATATATTATATATGTACATAATAATTAAAAATTTAAATTAGATGAAATGTGTATTACATTTCAAAATTTTGATTATATTTAAATGTACAATATAAATATAAATTATTGAACTTCCATATGAATCGTCATATTGATGACATAAAATGTAATGAATAATGCAATTTTATAGTATAGAGGAACCATCCAATAAATTAGTTAGAAACAATTGTTTTTATTATATATACTAGTATTTGATCCTGTACACTTGCATAGATATAAAACACGTTTTTTGTTTGTATTTATTAATTAGACATGTACTTCTATCATATAAAAATATCACTTTTTCTTAAGTTATTTTTATCATTAAAAAATGATTGAGATTTTAAATTTTATTTTAACAACGCAACGTTTAAAATAATTTATATATTTGTGGCATATATTAAGAAAATTAACATGAATAAAAAAAATTATTGGTGTTTCTGATTTTTAGAAAAAAAATATGTGCCCATCATATTTTTTCCAACAATGCAACCAAATATTGTGGTTACATCTCTGAATATGTCTGTCAACTTTAAGTTCCAAACATTAGTCATTATATATTTGAATATTTTGCTACCAAATTTAGAATTACTTTAGTAACTGATCCAAAAAATAAATAATAAAAATATATATATTAAGGTGTATCTGTTTTAGCAGATTAGTGAGTAATTAATCAAAAAAAAATTGTAACTCCTTTTAGAGGGAAATGAAAATAGATTTTATTAAATGTTTTATTAAATGCATCAGCTAGTAATTATATAATAATAATAATAATAATAATAATAATAATAATAATAATAATAATAATAATAATAATAATAATAATAATAATAATAATAATAATAATACTGTAACATAAAAAGATGGTAAACAATAATCAATATCTTTAAATTTATTATTAGTAATTAAATATAGACAGAGATATAAATGATAAAGTTTGTAACGGTTTTTGGAGGGAAATCGAAATGAGGTTCTATTAAATGTTTTATTAAATGCTATTAGCCAACAATTATATATACTAGTTATCATCCTGTGCACATGCACAGATGTACATAAAATATTATAAGTAATATGTGTGAATCTAATATAAAAATTATAGATGATAAACATATCACATTTTTAAGATATGTGAATTTAATTTTAAAATTCTAGATAATAAACATATCACATTTTCAAGATATGTGATTTTTATATTAAAATTCTAGATAATGGACATACCACATTTCCAAGATTTAATCATTAGTAAAAATAAAATAATATATATATAAATTATTTGAGTACATATTGTAATGTAATTTTTATAATTTGAAGGGATCATGGTCAAATAACTTACTTGAAAACTTTATTATAATAATAATAATAATAATAATAATAATAATAATAATAATAATAATAATAATAATAATAATAATAATAATAATAATATCATTCATAAAACCTAATTAAGTGTAATCATGTATTTATAAAACTTAATTAATAAAACCTCATTTATTTTCCCTCCAAAAGAAGTTACAAAATTTGTCATTCATATTTTGCCTTTCACATTAATACACCCTATTAAGTGTAATCATGTATTTTTTTTTTTGTTACTATATTATATAGTAGCTAATGCTATTACCAACTCATAATATTTCACACTAAATATAAATTACATAAGTATAAACAACTTTATTATTTCAAGATATTATTATTATTATTATTATGATTATTATTATTATTATTATTATTATTATTATTATTATTATAGTAGTCAATGTTATTTTTTTGCTATTATATTATATAATAGTTAATGCTATTAATTTTTTTACATGATTACACTTAATAGGGGTGTATAAATGTGAAAGGTAAAATATAATTGACAAAATTTTATAACTTCTTTTGGAGGGAAAATAAATGAGGTTTTATTAATTAGGTTTTATTTATGAGGTTT